GTATTTCTACAGTTGATTATGTTAGGGCTGCCCTCCCTATACGATGGCATGCGCATAACTGCATATTTACCTGACCAACGTACAAGCTCTTAGATGTGCTAAGAACAAAGATCCACTTTGCGTCTCTCGGGCCGAAGGACGTGTCGATTATTTGCCGGCTCTTCTTGTACAACAACTTGCTGTCCTCAATCACGACTTCATAGTCCTCTCTTTCCTTCTGCACAGTTTCAATACATTCTGTCAGCCACCATATATGCGTTGCTACAACTCCTACTCAGTCCTGCTCAGTCTATGATTGGGAAACACTACTTACCGGACCGAGGTACTTGATGCACTGGCTGAGAAGCTTGGATCGGGAGCACTTGCCTTCAAGATTGATCTCCTTGCCTTCTCCAACATCAAGCCTGGATTTTTAGCGATGACAAGGACCATAAGTTCACATTCTTCTGTTCGTTGGATGAACAATTCAGAAATGTGGCTAGTGACTAGAGTGAGCTAATTAACTTACCAGTAGAAGAAAGGCTGGTTGCTTTCACTGTGGAGCCAGCAATCATAGTAGTAGTGCAGGTTGTGGCCGTAGCGGTGGCGCGGGTCAATCTCCATTAACAATTTGATTTGAGTACCAATATCAGCTCATGGCGTGGTAAATAAAACATAGTACTACGTACATCAGTAAGAAGATGGAAAAAATGACGAGACACTCACCGCTTCGAGCCAATGCTGCAATGCGAGTTTCTGCGCCTTGTCATCCTTGGACAGTCCCTTTCCAACCTGAAGAAGAGAAAAACGCGCCCAAATTTGACAAGATATTCAGCCCAGTTTTGCCGATTTCAGACCAGATTTGTTTGGGAACAAATTCAGATGCGAAATTTGTTGTCCTACCTTGGCAGCTCGGGATCTGGCCCTGGACCACTTGGACACGGCCGTCTCCTGCTTCTCGATGTCGAAGAAGGAGACGGAGCTGCGGTTGAGGAGCGCGAAGTCCAGCAGCTTCCACCAGCTCTGCTCCACCAGCACGGCGCAGTCGGCCAGCTGCCGCCGCGTGCGGAAGCTCTTGTACACCTTCTGCAGCCTGAGCGCCGCAGCATCGTGCCTCGGGCTCTCCGCCCCCGCGCTCAGCCTGGCAAGCTCCCTCGGCGCAAGCGGCGGCGGCGCCTCGGCCTCGGCGCCGGCGCCGGCTGTCCTGATGGAGATCTCGGTCTCCAGCTGGAGAGAGCCCGGGCTGTCGTCCAGCTGCCGCTCCCTCTTGAAGCTGAGCGACCCCTGTATGAGCAGCTTACCGGAGCCCAAGGCCCTGAGCATCGTCGGCTCGCCGCCGTCGGCCGGCGCGAGGATGCCTTCCTCCATGGGGTCATAGTCATCGGCGGGGCAGGAGAACATGACCCCCATTGTTCTAGTAGCCTGGACCTACCTTGACACGAACTGGAAGAAACAAGGCCAAAATCAAGCCATTGCTTCAGATGCCAACCATCGGTGCTGAACAAGAAGAAGAAACGGCAAAAATCATTGCTACAAAATCATGGAGAACACTCTCACCTCCGGCCGGCCTCCAACAAGAAGGTCTGAGGTATGCCTGCTGCTGCTTGAATGTTTGGTGTTGTCCGGCTGTTTGCCCGCCGCTCCCCTGTAAACAAAGCACCGACTGCAACTGGTGGTGGTTTGGTAGCTACTGCACGTGGTTGTCAGTCGAGGGGAGCTAATTATCCGATCGATATGAATGGATGTGTGTGCTACTGCTAGTGTGAGACAACGGCAATATGTAGGGAGACGGAGGCTGGCCGGCGGTGGCGGCGGCGGTGGCGGTGTAGATAGGGACTTCCATTTTCCATTCCACGTGCTCCGACCGAACCGCATCTGGCAGCTGTCCGCCGGGAATAGCGTGTATCGAAACCAGCGATGCTCCCCGTATCTGCACCTTCCTCCTGTTTTCCTCTCCATCCGTACCGTACCCAGGCATGCAGCGAGCCCCTTTTCCACCGTTGCACGAATCATGGCGCCAGGCCGCTGCCACGTCAGATTTGAAACTAGGTCGATGTAAGACAAAAGGCAGCGAACATTTCACTTATTCAAAACAATCCTCGCCACCACACTGGCTAGCGGCGCAGTCCCCCTCATCGGAGAATTGTGTTCGAATATATTTCCTTGAAGTATTTCAGTTGGCATTTTTATATTTTTTTAAGAGATGGTGTTTTTTCTATTAAACAGATACCCAGTTTTGTTTTAAGAGATGTCGTTTTTATTTTATTAAATAGGTGGAATTTTTAAATTAAGAGATGGCATTTAAAATTATTAAGAGAGCATTTTTATTTTATTAAGATATAGCATTTTTTAATTAAGAGATGGAATTTTCAATTATTAAGAGATGGAATTTTTATATTAAAAGATAACATTTTATTTAAGGACATGGTCTTTTTATATTAAGAGCTGGCATATTTCATTTAAAGAGATCTCATTTTTTGTTTAAAGAGATGACACTTTTATATTAGAAGATAGCATTTTTTTATTTAGAGAGGTGCCATATTTTTATTTAAAGAGATGACATTTTTTTTATTTAAAGAGGTGTCATTTTTATATTAAGAAATGGCATTTTTTATTTAAAAAGATGGCATTTTTATATTAAGAGATGGCATTTTTCATTAAAAGAGGTGTCTTTTTTATATTAAGAGGTGGCATTTTCATTTAAAGAAATGACATCTTTGTAATAAGAGATGGCATTTTCGATTAAAAGAGATGGCATTTTTATATTAAGAGATGGCATTATTTTAAAGAGGTGTCATTTTTATATTAAGAGATGTCATTTTTTTAAAAGAGATGGCATTTTTTATATTAAGAGATGGCATTTTTAATTCAAAGAGGTGTAAGTTTTATATTAAGAGATGGCATTTTTCATTTATAGAGATGACATTTCTTATTTAAAGAGGTGTCATTTTTATATTAAGAGATGTCGTTCTTTTAAAGAGATGGCATTTTTTATATTAAGAGATGGCATTTTTAATTCAAAGAGGTGTAAGTTTTATATTAAGAGATGGCATTTTTCATTTATAGAGATGACATTTCTTATTTAAAGAGGTGTCATTTTTATATTAAGAGATGTCGTTCTTTTAAAGAGATGGCATTTTTATATTAAGAGATGGCATTTTTAATTTAAAGAGGTGACATTTTTATATTAAGAGATGGCATTTTTATAAGGTATTGCTTATTTAAAGAGGTGTCATTGTTATATTAAGAGATGTCGTTTTTTTAAAGACATGACATTTTTAATTTAAAGAGGTGGCATTTTTATATTAAGAGATGGCATTTTATATTTAGAGAGGTGGCTTTTTTATTAAGAGATAGCATTTTTTAAAGAGATGCTTTCTTTTAGGTACATGGCATTTTTTTCTCTGTTTTTACAAGAAAATATGTTTTTTCACCCACTACATTTAAATAAAAAAACAGTAAACTGGGCCTATGGGCCAATGGGGGTTCGCCCTGGCCCGTCCCCTGGCGAACGATCGATGGGGACCGATTTGTTCCTGGGAGCAGCTCGTCCGAGCGACAAATTCAGTCGTTGGAGCCTCCCTCCCCGACGATCGATCATCGGATATTTGCGTCCATATTTTATGGACATATCCAATGTAACGTAATCCTAAATGCTAAACCACTAACGTCAGGTGACAATGTTTTCCGAGCAAACGACCCATGGGCCGTTTGATTGAGTGCACGAATCGTGTGGCAATGCACCATAGGGTCAAGCCATTCGCTCTACTGTGATTTATGTGCGAATACTCCCGCACTACCTACTCTCCTATAAGAGTGGAGAGCTTTGTCCATACCCAACAACGCTTAAATGTGGTCAAATAGGTTTTATGGGCTAGGCATGGCACGACCCACCTAGACACACCAAGTACATAAGTCGTGCCAGGCATGACACGACCCACCTAGGCACGCAAAGTACACGGCCCATGTTGGGCCAGCACGCGTGCTACCCTCCCGCCCCAGGTACGACCCCTTCTTACACGGGCCGGTATGGCGGCCCATTAAACATGGCGTGTTGTGTGGGTACCCGTGCCCAGCCTCAAAAGCAGAGGCAGGACCCGATTATAAACATGTCGCAAAAGGCCCACATGGGCAGCATGCTAAGACTGACCCATTTGGCTAGGTTTGACAGTGCTTCTCTTTCTCTCACTCTATTCCTCCTCCCACTTGCTGACGCGATCTCTGTTACGTTGCTACCACTAGCGCACCTACGCCCTCACTGTGGCCGAGAGCCGCTTCTCCTGCCCGACGGACTGTCGGCAACGAGACACACCTCCCCCCTTCCCCTTCTCTATCGCGCATCCATGCCCGCACGACCTGTCGCTGCGACTGTGGCTGGGTGTTGAGGAGGAGCCACATGAGACGGAGGGTGACGAGGAGCTGTCGCAAAAGGTGGTGGACGATTGGCAATCATCGCTACAGCCCATCTCCAACTTATCGGCGCTGCAGAAGAACCGCTATGGGGGATGGAGGACGCCAAGGAACCGCCGTGTGCGGTCAACGACGACGAACCGTGTCAAGTTTTTAATTAATATATTTTATGTAAGTTTGAAAATGTATTGAAGATTAGACAAAATAATTTTTTTAGGATAGAGGTTTTGCTAGATGAGCAACAGTGATTCTCCTAAAAAGAAAATTAGGGAAATGGAATAGGAAGAAGAGATAGGAGATCTGCTAGAGATGTTCTGAGTGAGCACTGATTGCCATGGATGCCAATACAGCCTACACTTTCACACTTGAAGTTGAATACAAATTTTAAAACTTTAAGCTCAGACGCAACACTAGCAAATTTTAGGAGATTTACCTTGTCATCCTAACATAAACTTGTCACCCGGTTGCAATTCCACGGGTACTCGAGTAGGTTCTGGTCGATGGTGCATGTGCATATCATACTGACACACTCTACTATACAATCCCACTATGATTCACAATTTCACGTCTTATGTATGGGGCGACGAACCGCGCGCTGATGATATCTAGTATCACTTGCCGTTGGTCGGCGGCGCCATCTGCCCAGCGTCCCCGTCCTCCACCTTGCCGGCGCGGGCCTCCGCGGCGATCGCCTTGGCCTCGTCGTAGGAGGCGTGCAGGCCGACGAAGAGGTAGTAGACGAGCAGCGCGGCGCTCCATATCCCGAACCTCTCGAACGACTTGGCGTCGATGGAGCCCAGCAGGAAGATGTTGATGGCGATGGACGCCGACGGCAGCCACGGCACCAGCGGCGCCCCCCACAGCTTGGGCGTCCTCGCCTGCGGCACCAGCGCCCACAGGCACACCGTCGACGCCAGCCACGCCGGCACCGTCACCGCGTACGGCACCCACCCGTCCACGTTCAGGCCCCAGCACGTGGCCGTCGCCACGGACGTGGCCAGGATGGCGGCGATGCAGGCCACGAGCTTGTTGCGGTCGGCGGCGGTGGTCTCGCCGGTGACGTAGTAGCGGCGGACGAGCAGCGCGACGGCGACGAGCATGAAGATGAAGAGCGTGGAGATGGAGAGGAGGTTGGCGAGGATGCCGAGGTCGGTGAAGAAGGCGATGGCGGCGGTGGCGAGGAGCATGACGACGGTGGCGTTGACGGGCGTGCCGGTCCTGGGGTGCACCTGCGCGAGCCAGGGCGGCATCATGTGCGTGCGGGCGATGTGCGTGAGGTAGCGCGCCTGGCCGACGGCGCTGACGAGCAGCACGGTGGTCATCCCCTTGAGCGCGCCGAAGGCGACGACGTACTTGGCCCAGTCCATGCCCCGGTCGGCGAAGGCGACGGAGAAGGGCGCGTCCTTGTCGATGGCGCCGTAGGGCTGCATGAGGCACAGCGTGACGGCGAGCACGCAGTACAGCGCGGTGGTGACGGCCATGGACCCCACGAGGCCGATGGGGATGTCGCGGGCGGGGTTCCTGGTCTCCTCGGCCATGGTGCTGACGGCGTCGAAGCCGATGTAGGCGAAGAAGAGGACGGCTGAGGCGGCGAAGATGCCGCGGGTGCCGAAGGGCGTGAAGTCGCGCATGTTGGACGTGTCGGCCTTGGTGAGGCCGGCGACGATGATGAAGGCGATGACGGCGAGGTGGAGGATGGAGAGGAGGTAGTTGAAGCGAGAGGAGCCCTTGGTGCTGAGGACGGCGAGGGCGCAGATGAGCGTGATGACCACGACGGCGATGGGGTCGAGCTCGGAGTAGTGGGGGGAGAGGGCGGGGGCGTGGATGCGGAAGTCGCCGGGCTGGTGGTTGAGCAGCGTGGCGAAGTAGGAGGTCCAGGCGCGCGCCACCGCCGCGCCGCCGATGCAGTACTCGAGGAGGATGTTGCCCGCCGCCACGAACGCCATGAAGTCGCCCAGCTCCACCCGGAGGTACGCGAACGAACCGCCTGCAATGCAGCCATTCTTTTTATCAACCTTCTTCGTCAGCCGTCAGGGATTGATCGAAGCCGATCCTTCGCAAGAATTTTGTCGAGCGCTTATTTTATTTTATTTTTCTGCTGATGAAATGCCAACACTTATATGGTTGCTACCTCGAAAATCCTAATAGTTTGCCTAATTCACATCTAGACGTTTTTTAAGAATATCACATCTAAACTCTCACAAATACACAACAATAAAGCAAAAAAACTGAAAAAAAAACCATAAACCTAGTGGACATCAGGTTAATTGTGACATAACTATGTCACATCTAGATGTGTTCTAAACAGACCCAAATCCTAAACCTATGAAGGACTGTAGCTGCTACCAAAACTCCAACTAATTTAAACATGCCCCCGAACCCTCCCCCGATTTTCAGGTGGGGTGGGCCTAGCCCCCTCCTTTAATCCGATCAAATAGTCCCACGTTAGATTAGTTCGTAACTTTAGGTAAACCATTGCGTGGATGTAGCATTGCCCTTACTACGCTCTGTTTCTATCTTCACATGGCACGCTAGAATTTCCTGGAAAATCTGGTATACTGGAACTGAATAATTCGTCAATTTGGCTAGTTGACAAAGTACTAGCACAAACATAAAGTTGGTTAAAACATTTATGTACAAGTAAGTCCATGCTATTGGATCTGTCTATGACACATCTAGATATGACATAAACTGATGTTCACTTTATTCGTGGTCTATTTTTTTGTCCTAGTTTTTTTTATATTGCACTATATATATGGAAGGTTAGATGTGACATCATTAAAAAATATCTAGATGTGAATTAGACCAACTGTAGTTTTTTTCCGCTTGAACTATGTCTTGCTGAAGTTATTAGTACTCCCTCCGTCCGAAAATACTTATCGAAGAAATGGATAAAAATAAATGTCTCTAGAACTAAGATATGTCTATATGCATCCATTCCTCCGACAAGTATTTCCGGACGGAGGGAGTATAACGTAACGTGCTGTAGAACTCAATTGACGGTTCTTATAAAATAATAAGAAGAAGAAAAAACCGGACGCCCATCTCATCCCTGTCACTATACTTACACTGTTAGCATTCGGTCAAAGGAGGAGAATTCTCAGAAAGCAGAGTATTTGACCAAATCAACAGTAGTACTGGACTTGTCACTTGAGACTAGTTTGGTGAGGTGAAGTGTGAACTATCTATCACCCAACGTCCAAGGAGAATTGACGAACGATATTATTTTTAAAACACCGTTCATTTTGAAAGGAAAAGAAAAAGAAAAAGAAACTTATTAAGGCGTGCGAGGTCAAGGATCCATGTGAGCCGGTCTCAACTCAAGTCATCACTTGGACTGGATAGCATCGCATCAGTGTGGAAAAGAATGCCACACACTTGCTCTGGGCTTTGACTTGTCCCCTGGAAAACTGAACAAGTATAAATCCTGTCACGTTGTAAGTGTTGGCCAGATTCGAAGTGAGCGAGAGGCCGGTCCATATGGTAAATTCAACCGATATCTTGTCCCCCCTGTGAAGATTATAGATCAAGCATACTCATCCTTCGCTGGTTCATTTGGCAATTAGACGGGAAATTGCCAAAATAGCTCAGAATCTCTACAAGTGTAATTGTTATAACTGTATTTCTAATTTAAGGGCCTGCTTCATGTTTGGACTTCTTTAGCAGTGACAGAGAATCTTTCCAATTTGTAACGTGCCTTCTTATCCATCAAATTCACTACAAAAACTACTCCCTCTAACGTTGTACGAAAGCCGCGACAATTAATTTGGATCGAAAGGAGTACTTAGTAAGTTTCTCCATTAACCAAATCAACCAAAGAGAAATGAAAAGCATCTTGATTAATCGTCAGACGGCGACGGCGGGAGAAATCCTGAACCGCGGATCATGCCTGTGTGTTTCTCTTGCGAACTTAAACCAGATCATGCGCGTCGGGCCGATATATAGCACCTAGGTACGCATGCGTATGTGTTGTGTGCACGTGGCACGTACCTGCGACGGGTATCTCGACGGCGAACTCGGTGTAGCAGAAGACGGAGAGCATGGCGGAGACGCCGGAGACGACGTAGGAGACGACGACGGCGGGGCCGGCCACCTCCTTGGCCTCCTGCCCCGTGAGCACGAAGATGCCGGCGCCGATGACGGCGCCCACGCCGAACCAGGCCAGGTCCCACCAGGTGAGGTCGCGCTTCATGTCGGCGCCGCTCCGCGCGCGCACCTCGTGCAGCTCCGTGGCCTCCAGGGAGCGCGACGTGAGGCGGTCCGCCAGCCGCGGCCCCGTGCTCCGCAGCGCGCGCCCGTACGCCGCCCAGCTCGAGAACGACTCCTCCGGGAAGAAGTCCGCCTTGGCGCACGCGCACCCGCGCCGCCGCGCGCCGCCGCCGCCGGCCTCGGCGCCCATCGCCATGGCCGTCGATGGGCTATCTTCCTGTCCCGGCTCTTGTGTATGGGCTGGTTTGTCTGGCTCTGGGCGGGCTCCCTCGGGGCGTCCGCTTGGTCGTGTCGCGGAGAGGAGATGGGCGGGGTTTTAAGAAGGAGGAGGGTGCGCGTGCGTGGGTTTTTAAGCTGGCAACTGGTTAGTTTTTCTTCTTCTTCCAAAAGCTGCGTTGGAACCGGCGTGCTCCAGGGTGGCGACCGCGCACCCCTGATCGGCTCACCGTTGGCTGTTTGCGCATGATTGGAGGCTTGGAGCACATATCGTGGATCGTTTCCGTTTGTTTACCAATGAACCGCGACGGGACACACCGCGCATGTGCAGAACGCACGGTGCGCTGTGCAGTGCAGGTATGGTCCGGGTCAGCGGCGAACATGGGAACGCCATTAAAAACCGGGCTGGTAGCATGCCAACGCACGCACGCGAGAGGTCACACTGCCTAGTTTGCACTTTGCAGGCACCCATCTTCAGACCTGTCCGGATGCATTTGTTTGGGACAAACGGATAAATCACACGACCCAGCGCGCAGGTGCAAACGGACTTTTGTCTGTTTTATGTCTGCTTTCGACTTATCCACGGTCCAAGTTTTGGGTCGCTTTTGAAGTGAAACGGACATCGCGCGGACGAGCGGGACGCTCGCACTTGTCTTCCTCTGGCCCGTCCGTCGGTGGCACAAAGCACCACCCCGGCGCCCCATTTCGCGCCATTTCCTCCCAAACCCTCCCACATCCCGCCCACTACCCTTCCGTCCGTGGCCGATGCCCCGCTGAATTCTGACGGCTAGACCGTCGACCTGCTCGAAAAGGTGAAGAAGAAGGCGACGGCCAAGGGTCCGATGAAGCCGCGGTCGGAACTCATGCCGGCGGAGCTCACAAAGCTGGACGCGGAATCGGCCAAGAGGAGGAACCGGAGGGCGGCGGCCAAGGGCAAGAACGACGCGGCCAAGTTCGCCGCTGAGCGCGATGCGTTGCAGGCCACGCGGCGCAAGGTCGACGTGGACGAGAAGGAGGACATCGTCAACAAAGCGCATGCCCTCCTCATGCTTGGGATTTGCCATCCGGCGGGTTTCTCGGCAGCGCCCGTCGGCCCGGCGAGCACAGGCTCGTTGGTCGCCAGGCCTCCACACTGCCCCTCGCCTACGTCGCGGACCACGCCTTTGTCGCCCAGTTTTTTTTCCGCCAAGGCACGAAGGCCAGACCCGTTTCTCGGGTCGCCGAACGTTGGCGTGATCGCGCCGTCCACCCCGCGCCCCTCGGCCGTCATCGACCTCAACGTCATGCCGGGGTCCAGCAGCAGCGGCCGGCCGTCCGTCAAGATGCAAAGAAAGCAAGCACGACCGCCGTCTACGGGCACCATGTCGTCGCCCCGCGTCCTGTTTGACGAAATGCCAACGCCAACGCCAACGGTCGACGACCCCTTCTACAATCAGTTCATGGAGAATGTCATCTACGAGGGTGGGCATGGTGGTGCCTACGATCCCGACGAGACCCAAAGTCAGGATGGTCGCGGCCAGTAAGTTGTCGATGAAGACATTGATGCCCACGACCATGCTGACGACGACCATGGTGACTCGTCGCATGAAGATGATGACATCTATTGCGAAGGTGATGTTGATGAAGAAGAGGAAGGCATTGATATTGGGGGTGAGCCATTGTTCATCGACGAGCTCACCCAGAGAGCGAAAGCACAAAAGAGGAAGAAGAGCATTCGTACGGGATCATACTCACAAGAGGAGGACAAGTTGATTTGACAAAGTTGGATGGAGGTTGGCCAAGATTCGAGGACCGGTACGCAACAAAAGGGACTTGTTTTCTGGACAAGAGTTCACAAAACATTCCATGAAAGGAAGTTGTTTGCGCCCTACCAATTTGCGAGCAACCGTGGCATCACCTCGATTCAAAAGAGGTGGTTGTTCATCCAACAAGAATGCAACAAGTATTGTGCCGCACTTGAGAGCATTGAAGCACGACCCGTGAGTGGTCTCGGCATTGGGGACATGGTATGTTCTCTTATCTTTCGTTGCTACGGCCATGAGACTTCGGCCTTCTATATGTTTGCATGTTTAATTGTTGTTGATCGTGTAGGCATTTCAATCTTTGGAAGCATTCAAGGCACGGCACAATGATAAGCCATTCACTCTTACGCATTGTTGGACACTCATCAACAATTGCCCTAAGTTCAAAGATTAATACTGTGAACTTCAAAGGAAGAGAGGCAAAAAGACGGCCGCGTTGGACGAAGGTGGAGATGGTGAGGTGTTGAAGAGGCCCAGGGGCAAGACCAACTCCAAGATGGACGACATATGTGATGCGTCATACATGGCCTTGCATGAGACTTTGCACGGCATGATGTCTCAAAAGGATATGAGGGACGAGAAAAGGCGACAAAGTAAGGACGAGCAAATGAAGCAATACCTAGATCTTCAAATGAAGAAGCTTGAGATGGAGGAGACGGCCAAGAAGAGGAAGATCGACATGGAGGAGGAGGCATCCCGGCAAAGGTAGCTCGACATGAGGCCGCCAATGTCACGGCCATGTAGAGGCAGCTCGACATCGAGGCCATCAATGTTGCAACCAAATCAAAGGAGGTGGCCCTAGCGATCATGAGCGTGGACTTGACCAAGATGAGCGAGAAGACGAGGAGCTGGTTCGAGGCCAGGCAGAAGATGTTTGACGCCAATGAACTGAACTAGGTGGTTTGTTCGGCCGTGGCCATTCTTTTTGGAGGCTGGCATAGGTGCCGGCCACTGGCTGTGTGCCGGCGAGAAACCTATTCATTTTCGAGGCTAGTTGTGTTGCTGGCCGCTGGCTGTGTTGCCGGCGACAAAACGATTCATTTTGTTGGCTGGCTTTATTGTCGGCCGCTGGCTCTATTGCCGACAAGGACGTGTAGGCAGGCTATGTTGCCGGCGTGAACTAGGGTTGCTGGCATGAACTAGGGCGTGGTTTATTCGAAAATTTACGTTTGAAAAAGGAGGCAGACAGGATGCGGCCGAAGGATGTATCCTCGTGTTGGGCGCACGGCCATCACATCCCAGAAATGGTCCGGACACGACCTCATTACCCGCCCTAAATGGACAGAATCCAGGCCAAAACGGACGTCCGTTTGGGATCCGTGCGCTGGAGTTGGCCTAAGCATTTATGTTGTTTCCTTTCCATTCCAGGAAATGCATGCCAAGCTAGTTTCATACACCGGATGGACTTCTGCAGCCAATCCTTGATCTTTTTTAGGTTGATTTTTTTGTGTGAGGTCAATTTTTTTGAAAAAAAAACATGCTCAAACGTTCTCAATTTCTTTTAGACACACATCAAATTTTGGTGTACAACCTCAAAAGGTTTCAGCTCCAAATTCAACTTACATTAGTAGAAACAAAAAAAAACAAAATTAGATGTGAATAGTGTCAAAGTACTATTCACCTAAGGCTGTCAATATTCACATTCAAATTTGTCTTTTTCCGAATCTCTAAATGTACAACGAGTTTTGAGCTGATTTTTCAGAGTTGTAGACATACCCCACATGGATATTGTCAAATAATTTTAGATTTTTCCAAAATGTCTAAATATTTATTTTATGGTTGATCTCACGATCTCGCCTAAATGTGAGATCTCATACAAGTCTCCCTAGGGTTTTGGTGCTTGTCACTTGTCACGTCGATGATTTGTTTCAAAAAACAATTCCACGGGAGCCAACTAATAGCCTCGTCGCCGCTTATGCCAACACCTCGTCCACCCTGCCGGCAAAGAGTTTAGCAAAGGGAGCGAAGAAAAAGACGGGGAAGGGCCATGCCGTTGCCTCTCCTTGGTTGGTCTCAAGGGCTGGCGAAATTGGGATGTCCTCTCAATTAGTATTATGGGTGATACGGGAACAAAAAATGTTGATCTCGGGCACATTGTTGTCACATTTTGATCATGTGTCTGACCGACGTGCGGAATTTGATCAATTTGAACCCTCCGGCTTGTCGAGAAAGGTCGCAATTTAGGGAGCTAACGTTAAGCCCGATGAGGATATTGTGCTCGTTAGGCATGGGAAGATATCTCTTTCGATGCATTCACGGGAAAGACCAAACGACCGCAAACTATTAAAAGCAAATTAATGAGGCCGGGATATGGATATGGCAACTATTAGTTTGCGTTTCGCTTGACCAACCTCCAAATACATATGAAGCATGCTCGACATACATTACGCTCATTGCTGACATGACGACTCTGTTAAAGTTGCTCTTAGCGTATTAAAAACAGTATTACAAAGCATATTGCTCCTAAGCTGTCTTATCCCTATGAAGTGCAAAAGAATAGGGAAATAAGTATTTGCAAACGAAGTCATGCCATATTCTCTCTGGTTTGTTTACCAAGTCCTTGCCTGGTTATCTATTACATAAATATGTAAATGGAATTGGTATGAGGCAGCTCCCTGACTTGCAAAATTCAGGGGGAGAAATCTCCTAGGTTATAACCTGTTAAGATCATCAGATCTTCAGTATGTACTCTTTTCCTTTGTGATTTTTACCTAACTGTTTCTCATGTAAGGTTTTCAATAAAGCAATTTAAGTACAAGTATGGACAACATATGTCATATTCTCCTTATTATCTCATTGGATTTTTAAAAGGAGTTATTCATGGCATATTGTATATTCCTCCTTCATTTTTTCCACGAAGTTTCTGAAGGTCATGATTCCAAGGATGACCAGTCGCAAGGACAAGCAAGGATTAGGGGGGGGGGTGTTAGGATTGATTTATTCTTATAACTAAAGTGTAACCTTACTCGTCAAATCTCTTGTGCCGTTGGTTAGCAACCGCCGTGACGCTCTCCACACCCGCACGTATGGCCGCATCTGCACATCTTGTATGTCCTCCATCTATAGATTCTATTATTGATGATACGTAGAATCGGCGGTCCCTCGTTAGGTTCGCAAACATGGTTGAAAGTGTCAGAACAGAGTTCACACAAGTGGGTTACCTAGGTTCGGGCCCTCCAAAGGAGGTAATATCCCGTGCCCTATTTCTAATCTATATTCATGGTAGAGTTTCTTGTTATCAAGACTATAGATTATGGGTATAGATGGGAATTGCTATGTACCCCTAGCCCCGTCCTATATTGTATTGATCACAGGGGCTAGAGTTTACATGAGAAATCTCTTTCCTTGCTCACCAAGATGGTTCCTAAGATCTATTCGGGCCTCCTGACTCCCTCTTGTCGTCGGGCTCTGTCGGAGCCATATGGCCCCATGGAAGGCCTACTGTCAGGCTCCCCTCCGAGAAGTCACCCCTAGTGTATTCGACCGTCAATGACCATTGATGGAATAAGGTTGTTTGATTCATTCATTCAGTTTGTCTCACAACAATCCTAAGGGTGTCAGTACCTCCTATTGCACTGCATAAACCTTGTATTCTTGTCTCGAATAAAGTAACTCTAGCAGAGTCACCATATGTGAGTCATCATATGTCTTATGGAGCGTGCTTCATATCCATTCGGAGACTACGACAATTATGTGCAAACACAGATTAACCGTAATGTTTGGGGAGGGGGAGGGGAAGACGCAATATTCCGCAATTAATCTCCTCAAATCGAACCATTGGCATTGAAAGTGCCATATGATGTGTTCCCGCTCTGCCATGAAATTTGCTTGTGCCTCCTCACGGTGGAGCCATATGGCGATGTTCCTCTCGAACGCCAGCCTCTGCCCAGGGATGGTCTGCTCAAAAGTTTCATTGGGTTGTACGATCGACGCGTAGGCAACGTATCGCTCATTCCATGCCTCCTTAACAATGAGGCGACGAGGAGCATGTGGTGGTCGATATGAGTTGTGTGGGCGAGACCTCTCCTGCCCCATACGGGAATTGCTGGCAGATATGCTTGACATCCCAAACAACGACATGTGTTTTGGGATTAGAATCTGACCACACATTGAGGAGGGCGGCATCCTCCTGCGCGACCTCCTCCGTGTCGCAGCGATCCCACTCCTCCTCCTCAGCGATGTTGGTGGCGTCTTATGTCGTTTCCTCCTCGTCGAGCAATCATTTCTCTCCTCCGAGAGCAAAACCTTTTCCGGTCGAGGGGTAACTGACATGGTGAAAGTGGAGAGAAAGAGGAATGACCTTTTTATTCCAGCAGGTGGTGGGAAATCATGATGGGAAGGGCGCGGGTAATTGGGCACGCGGCGTCCACCATTAATTGGCTTGCTTCCTGATGCGATGGGAGTCGGCCGCTTGCGCCATTGACGGGAAGAGGAGGTGGACCACACAGGAGGATGAAGAGGATGTGAAACTTCCTCTCGTCGTTGTCGGATAGACCCTTCAAAAACCAAGCCCCACCACCTTCAAATTAGAAGGCCCGCGAGCTCGATATAGAGCGTCCTTCATAAATTATGACGCTACGAGGTCGGATAACAACTCAATTAGAACGGTCTTATTGGTTAAAACCGTCATGTTGGTGATTATTATTTTTTGCGCGCTGGGGTGAGGGTGGGGGTGGTATATTGGTGATTATTATGATGATCGGGCTGTTTTGGCGACTCAGCTGGAGTCGCTCCAAGAAATACAATGAACGTTGATGTCCATTTACGTGGTGTACACTTGGTTCGGAGTACGCAATGATGCACTGAGCTAACAAACATTTTACTTTGGTTGTCTCTTGCAAATGGCGGGCCAATCGAATCCATGACAGGTACTCCCTCCGTTCCGATTTACTCGTCGTGGTTTTAATTCTAAAACCACGACAAGTAAATCGGAACGGAGGAAGTATCTTTCATGGCAAAAATCATAGAATTGTAATAATAAATTTATACAAATATAATTTCGAGTACGTACCGCCAATTGATGGGCAAAACATAATGCAGCAAAACATTTCTTCAGGTTGTCACCAGGCTGGAGACGAGGAACATGAGTAAGAACATTTTGATGTCATTGTCACCCAGGAAAAACGACATGCGGCGCGAAGAAAAAGAAAGAGAAAAAGGAACTCAAACTGCTTCAAGTAATGTACTACAACTCCAAGGATGAACAGAATAAAAATGTCATGAACTACTCCCATCTTGATCATCTCTCTGTGTCCATATCACACAGTCTGCTGAGCATGCTTTGTGCCAGCAGTAAGAAAGAACGAAAGTATACAAAGAGATTTCCCTCTGGTTTCTAGAGAAATCAGAAACCTCGAGATTTATGATGTGGAAAAGATACATCAAATCTGCATTGCCAGCTCAATGGCTCCGTGCTGGCCACAGAAGCTGTTTGATTTGGTCAGCAATTCTCTTGCTTGAAGCATCACAGGTTCTTTGCATTGACCTGAGATGGCGATCTCTGGTCAGACTCTGGCCTTCGCAGAGCAGACAAGGATGCTTAGCTTCAGAGGTCAAAGGAATCAACTGGACTCCCTGCAGCGTCCTTAACTTCCTCGGTCCACACAAATCATCAGTCGTGCCAATGATACTGACCTCGCGTTGCGTGTCTGAACATTTTGTTTGAACAATCAAACCAAAGAGAAAATGATCTACAAGTCCAAATAACCAAAAATATTATGTGCATAGATAGTACTCACTATTATTTGATTACTCGCAACTATGAACTGACCACCACTTGCACTACTTCAGTAAACACAGAACATCAAACTTTGCTACACATTTCCATTCCCACTAACCAACATACCCAAAAACACCAGAAAATGTTCACACAAAGGGACTCAAAACACTTGCACTTACTGGCGATTTCATTATGGGGCAGCTCATGATCTTCATATCGATCTATTATCCACCTCTGTATCTATTCTTTCTTAGCTAAACAGGTGGAAGATCTATCCAATTTGGTTATATTATATCATGGACTCGAAAAACGGATCTGAATTTGACTGAAATGCACGATCTTCACAGGTATCACTTTTCACGATACCTAAAAGGTGGAATAACGATTTTCGAACCATTTCCTATAAGAGAATGGTTTCCATTACTTTGAGAAATGGATTCTTATATCAAACTATAGCTATTGCATTAAAGAAGAAAAGAAACTAATAGAAGTCGAAGACGCGGAATGATAGTGAATAGAGAGAAATATTCTTCTGATTTTCTTGTTTCTATCTACTAGACGCCGTAGAGAATTGAGAATTTTCATGTCTTTCAATTCTCGTACTCGTAATTGGAAAGTTCTGGAAGGAGACCCATCATTTTGCAATGAAAACAACATATAAAACTCTGGACAATTTCGAAATCAGGCCAAGCGTCTTAATACATATGCAAAAAAATTCATTATTGGCCCACCATTGATTAGAAGATTTAGCTTGTGTGAATCGCTATTGGTTTGATACGAATAATGACAATCGTTTCAGCACATTTAAACCTATAAACGACGACTACGGAAACTATAACACAGCTCACACCAAGTTAATTAAAATTACGGGAGTAACTAGTAGGGAGTTTGGTGTTTCATTCAGGCGTGGGCGGAGAGCTGGCGCTTCTGCTTGGACAGCTTGGCCTGCAGCTTGTCGAGCTTGGCGCTCATGCTCTTCTGCTGTTCGCTCACCGACCCCTCCTGCGTGCTGCACATCTGCGGCTTCATCTTCAGGCTGAACCGCCTCGGGACATGGGACGCCCACCCTCCTCCTCCGTTCTTGCCACCGCCGCGCCCCAGCTTCTCGATCTCCTGCCGCATGTCCGAGCACTCCTTCTCCAGCTCCGCCAGCCGCATCCGCATGTTGTCCATGCCCACCTTCAGCACCTGGTTCTCCCTCACGGCCGCCGACCACCCCCCGGCCTCGCCGGACATCGCCACGCAGCCGCTCCGCAGCGGCCTGGACGACCCTTCCAGGTTGTCCGACACCAGCAGGCACCCCGCGATCGACGTCCTCAGCTGCAGCTGCTCGAAGAAGAGGACTTGCACGACCACGCGCAGCGGCAGCCTCTCGTTCTGCGCCGCGTGGGTGCACGCCTCCAGGGACAGCTTCTGGCAGTCCATCAGCCGGCATAGCTGCTCCCGTTCCGCTTCTGATAGCCAGGAATGTGCCTGTGAGCAACACAAAACCAAAATGATTAACAACTTTAAAAAAAGGAAGTAGGATAGAAGATCTACCTTCAAGTACACATCGATGGCACGGTAGAGGCCGTCATCTAGCGGCCGGGCATACTCGGGCAAAGCAGATGCCAGGGCTTGGAATTTCGGAGGTTTCAGATTGACATCCGGTGCAACCTCTGCAAGATAGCCATCCAGTAACTTGGCAACAGCAGTGATTGGTATCATAGAAGGGGACGCCATCATGTCATCGATGCACGGGGAGCAACCGCCGTTGGCTTGGTCCATTGCCAGAAAGTGCTCAAGAATCCTGTGCACGCACTCCACATTGTACAGTGTTTCCATGGTGTAAGAGTAGTTTGGCAGCAGTAGATCTTCCAGACTGGCCTGGTCAAGCTGCATGCCGACGCGTTTCTCCAAGTTGGCGATGCAGGTGGAGCTGGCTTTCAGAATCATGGATGTTTTAAGCAGCCCGAGCAAGAGTTTTGTAGGCACCAAACCCTTCTGAACAGGCAATAGTCTGTCGATCTCCTCAAGCAAGTTCCTCTGTTCTACATCAGAAAGAGTACCGGCCAGGGGCATTGTTCCCATGCTATTGTGCCTACTGAGTCCTGGAATATACTTCCGCGCATAATATGCCAAAGAACCAGCGATGATCTCAGGCCGAATGCGTCGAAACTCCATACCAGATAGCAACCTCTTGTACATGGGAAAACTCAATGATGAAACATCGTCATACCACCAGTCCGAACTGAAGTTTCTGGGCCTGGCACCGGTGCTGATCCCATTCCACAGCACACTGCCACCAGGGCTTTGCATGAGGCCATGTTCCCTTATCGGCCAGCCAAACAGGTTTGGGTCGGTAGTTGCTTTCGATGCTAATGACTCGATGCATCTCTTCACAATTTGAAGATCTTCAGCATGAGGGAGAAGGTCATCACATGTTTCGAGGGCCTTTAAAGAATCTTTCCAGTTACGAAGCACCACTTGGTTAAGAAACATTTCTGTCTGTGCAATCAGGTTGTCATCAGATATTTCTTCAGTCATCTGGAGATGCTCAGAGGCGCAACGCAGGTGGACAACATTTGAAGAAGAAAGTTCTATTTTCACTCCATAGCAGAATCTTGCCACCATTTCAAATGATTTTGCACCCCCTGGGATATCACTTAGTTTGATGATGCACTCTTCTTGATCTGAACTCTCCTCTATCAATTGTTCAAGAACGGCACTTTTGGAAAGTAAAGGGAACTGCAAAGACAATGACCAGCATTATGGTAAAAGAACAGCCAGCATGTAGTGAAGGTCTACAAGTACAAGGTAAGAAAAATCTGTAAAGATGCATGAATGACCACAGGAGAAAGTAAACAAATGGCATGTGTATTATTTTTAAAGATGAAATGTTGCCACAAATTAATTCTCCAAAAATGAGTGAAATCCTTCCAATACAAGTACAAGTTGCTCATCCTTCTTAATAAGGACAATGTATATTTTCCTATAAATCCACAGGTAGTTCCTTGCCAACTTAGAATGGACACTGTTTGCTTGTTACGACAGACTAAAGTTTGTTAGTCTTATCTCTCAAAAAAAAGTTTGTTAGTCCACCTTGATGTTTTAGACTACATTCTTTTTTAATACCAAACAGTTTAAATAATTTTCTTCTAGGGCATTCTAGTAACAAGTAATAGTAATACAGTAGCTGTTTCTAGTGCCATAGAGGGCGAAATTGTTTACGGACAATCACAGGAAATGCATATTACCTTATGAAGGTGGAAAGACATACCCCCAACTTCCACAGTAACATCACTTGGCAGTCCTGTTGTGCAGAACCTAGAAGGTTCAAAAGCAGAAGAAAAAGTCAAGATCATTATATCAGACATATTTAAATACGAAACTTCACAGAGCAAATTTGAAACATATATATCCACGGTAATGGTCCCTTCGACGTCACAAACAGTGGTGCTAAAGGTGGTTGATTTCATGAAACATCGGAAGCTTGGGCTGTCCATTTAAAACAAAATCCAAACCTGCTCCCTAGTAAATAATTACAAGTTGGCTGCATTGTCTTGTATAAATGAAATGAGGAACGATGGCATCCCGCTGCCAACCAATGTGATGTGGATCCATGAAAAACCGCAGGCGACCCCCACCGGCCACCACAAACTGATTGCAGAAGCGGTCAACTGCGATCAACTGTGCATATTAGTGGGTACAATGAGTGAATAACACCCCACCATACTTGAATGGTGGAACTGTATCTAGCATGTGCAATGGGGCACCAAGGCAGGCAATACCGCAAGTCTTCTCCTTATTTCGTGGGAAATATTCTTAATCAACAAGTGTGTCGGTGACAAAACGAAATTTCAAATTCCAGCTAACGCCTTGTTTTGAACACATTTTCTTGGCAACTAGCATAGCATTTGAAAGTAATGTTTTCAACCCTGAATTTTCTCTCTCAATCACAAATGACAAGCAAGCAGGAGCAAGTAAACCAAGTCTGCTATTCGAATCTCATCGTTTTGCAATTGAAAATACGCATGTGAACATGGAATCAGTGGCAGTGGCCTGTATATATACAAAGAAAACAAAACTCGAGACAGAGCTCAGGGAGAGCGGTGTAGAGCGAAGCCGTGCAGTCCAGCCAAACAAGTTAAAGACTTGTGAATTATGGCACCTCCAGACAGAGCTCCACCAAATTGGCACCAATTTGAGCAGAAACCCCCAAGAACGCCAACCAGCCACTCTTGTCCTATTTTCTCCCCTAAATTCTTGAGGTTTCAGGTAGCAGCAAAAGAAGGGCAGGAACAAGACAACAAGGCCCAATTGTCTATCCTGGCAAGGGAGAGCGAGCAAGTAGACCGCAGAAATCAAGGCTGAATTAACGCGGAGAACATAGGGCGAACAGGGAAGAAGAGAGTAATGAGGCGAGAAATTTACCACGCCTGTCCCTGCCTTCTGAAGGCATCAGGCTTTGATCCCAGCTTCACCGACGCCGACGCCGACGCCGACGCGGCCATCCTGGTCGACGCGGCCTCCCCCAAAGAAGGCTGCGCGAGTAAGACTCGGGCGCAGAAGAAGAACCCTCAACCAGCACTCGGAAGCTCAGGCCATGGCCTGGTCTGCCCCTTTCTCTCTCGCTCTCTCCCAGCTGCCGCCGGAACCAGCTCCCCGCGAAAGAAAGACAGGGCAGGGCAGGGTCAGCGATACATGATATGGTTGGAGGTGGAGACCCCTTTGGCGACGGGCCTGCTGCTGATCCAACCACTCCTCCTCCAATAAACCAAGCGCAAGCGGGGGTTGCAGGAAGAGGAGCACCGATTCAATCGAAGCAGTTAATGGTGGGCGCCGGCGCACAATGGGGGTTGGGAGAGAGAGCAGGAGTGCGAGTAGTTGGGTTGGGGCAGGGAGGAGGCTTGAAGACGGCAGTTTCTATTGTGTCTTCACCCTCCCTCTCTCTCTGCTTAACTGCTTTTGTGGGTGATTAAGAAGGTCTCGGGGAGTTTGATTAGGGGGGGAGGTGGAGATGGAGATGGAGATGGAGAGGGGAAGCAGTTGGCGCTGTGTGTTTTTCTCTACTTCTTTAGGGCTCGTGGTCACGGGGACAGCGCCATGACTGGGTGTAAAAGAGCGGTTCATTGCCAACTCGACAATTGTTTTGTTTTGTTGCAAGGAGAAAGAAATTAGAAAAGGAATCGGGTCAATTGGTAGTAGGCGTCAAACGGAGGGAGCGGCCAGACGACAAGGCAGCAGGTCAATCAATTATTTGGTCGACAAGGGAGATATTGCGGCCTGCGGAATCGCACGGCTGGTTCCCATCCATTGAGGCGCAAATAGTGGGAAATAAATTAGTAGAGTAGGAATCTATACCTGTGTGAGGCGCAAATATCGCAAAGCTACGACTAGTAATGTGTTGGAAGGCGTTTTTTTAGTATATTTATTCCAGAAAAAGAAGGTGTTTCTTTTCTTTTTCTTTTTAGGGAAAAAAGAAGAAGCAAGGTGCGTATGGGAGGAGCGGGGGTTGTGCGTTGGTTCCTGCCTGCCAGTGTGCTGCGTGGGTTGTTGGCGCGGGAGTTAATATTTACTGATGAGGAGGGCATTAAAGGGTCTGGAAATCTTGGGCTGCGTGTACACAGATTCTCTGAAGGAGAGAGTACAGCCGGGCAACGTTTGTTTATGCATGCATTTCAGCCACCGCTTTGTCCTCTTGACCTCAATACCGACTATATTTCCGGACGTCCGTAGCATTTTCAAATTTAGGTACGGTGGTCCTCTACTTCTAGGGTTGCAGACTTGTAGTACTTGAAAATACGTCCTTAGGGTTTTTATCTATGTTGGTCGTTTGATTCACAAGGTTTTTTCTTTTGGAATCAAGTGTGCTGCAGTTCATTGAAAATCATGCATCTACTTCAACCTCTTTTCATAATTCTTTTGTTTTTTCTATGGCATCAAACACTCTATACTAATTCTATAAGATTCAAGTGGACGTGACACTTAAATCCTGTATTTTTCCTATCCTTACGTTCTAAAATCCTGCAAATCAAAGAGGGCCTGATTAGTGAAGCCCATACTGTGCCATGCAAGGATATACGACGCACCAGGGTTGAGTTGGTTAGGGGGACAGTGGTATCCTCAACCCACCACATGAAATCAGCGGGTGCAAATCCTTTTTATAAGAAAGAATCTTTGAAGGCGCAAATCAAATCGTCGTATATCTCATACTACTAGTAGTACTATTTTGTTTTCAGAAAAAAAATGGAAGCTTGGGCTACCGGCAAATGCTCTTCTCGATCGGTGGCGCATGTCTTTAACCTTACGCAGTCGGTACTACTAGCACGTACTCCGAGTCTGCAGGAAACCCAAACCACCTTGATGTGATAGGAGTAAAATAAACAGGTGGCTTGTTTGGGGGCTAGCGTCGCAGCTGCGTGGTGCTTGCTTGTACGTGCAGATGCCGCCGCTGTTTGCCGCGCCCGGATGGATGCACACAAGGAACTATGAAGGAAGGTCAACTCGTTGGGACTAGCTCGATTCGTCGATGTTGGATGTTAATCTGGTTATTATGGTTTTGCACTTGTGATATTCCCAATGTGTGAATCAATTATTTGTACGCAGTGTCCAAACGTGGTCTAACATTGGACACGCATAAGCACCACGGTTCAAGAAAATTCACTTCAGGACTAGGCCTATGTGTAAATTAATATAACACGTTTTAGATCACCATTTCCCTCTGTAAATTAATACCGCCTCCATCCTGATTTATTGGTCCTTTCGTATTTTGTGCTAAATTTTCACCTTATATTTAAATAACAAAATGTTAATGCGTCTAAAAAAATTAATGCCAGTAAAAACTATGTTCAAATACGAACCCAATGATATAATTTTTAATGACATGCATTATCATTTTCTTAGTCTGACACAAAAATACTAAGGGGACCAATAAACCAGGACGGAGGTAGTACAAGATATTTTAGATCACTAAAGTAGTAGTGATCTAATGGGAGCAGAGAGCAATTTTACAGGTTTTTTGGCTCCCGGGAACATTTGCTCCGGGATGAACAGTACCTCAAAAAATGTGGGAAAATGTTTTAAAAAATTCTGAATTTTTTTGTGAATGATTGTGTTAGTGTCGCAAGCATGCTTGAAAATTTTCATGCGAAATGGATCAGTAGTGTTTTGTCGGTGAAAAAGAATTAGTGTAACATTTGGCGTTCATTTTTTTTTGCACAAGTCAAAATGTTTATTTTTTTGCCTTTGCAGGTAGCATAAATAATTTGTTGGAATTTTTTTGACATTTCAAAAATTATTTTTCACACGTAGGAGCACATGCTCCTGGGAGCCAAATTGGATTTCCAGATAACCCATTTAGCACAACACAACACATTTAGCACTATGTTGTTTGATTGCATAAATCAAATTTCATCACACCAGTAGTTGGAAACACTTCATATATTGGATGGTAAACACAACACCATCATAAACAACAAAGTAAAGAGGTTTAAGATGTCTTCTTCTTCTTCTTCTTCTTCTTATTCTTCTTCTTCTTCTTCTTCTTCTTTGTATTGGAGGTACATAGTGAGGGGTCCTTTGATTTAAAGGGATTTCATAGGATTTTCAAAGGGTTAGAATCCTTAGGGTTTTTTTCTATGTTGGTCGTTTGATTCACAAGATTTTTTCTTTTGGAATCAAGTGTGCTGCAGTTCATTGAAAATCATGCATCCACTTCAACCTCTTTTCATAATTCCTTTGTTTTTCCTGTGGCATCAAACACTCTATACTAATTCTATAAGATTCAAGTGGACGTGACACTTAAATCCTGTATTTTTCCTATGCTTACGTTCTAAAATCCTGCAAATCAAAGAGGGCCTGATTAGTGAAGCCCATCATGTGCCATGCAAGGAGATACGACGCACCAGGGTTGAGTTGGTTAGGTGGACAGTGGTATCCACAATCCACCAGGGTTCAAATCCCGGTGCTCGCATTATTCCTGGATTTATTTCAGGATTTTCCGGTGATGCGCTTTCAGTGGGAGGTGTTGGAAATATGAGCAATTTACCAAATGATTTTATTAACAGAAATACTAGATAAAGCATGACTAATATAGTAGAGATAAAACAAGTCATGCGTTCTGATAGAGAGAAGGTAAATAGCTTCTGCATATATGAACCGTATCCTATCATATCTAAAGCAGACAGTATAGCAAGTAGCATATATGAAGTAGAACCTATCATGTGTAGGACAAGGACTAGAACAAGGAACTGTGACAGAACCTTTAACAGGAAAGACAAGAACACGTACGGGACAGCAGCAGCAGAAGCGCTGGACTTGGGGTCAGTGTCCTCGCCTGCCATGTCGTCGAGGAGGTCGTGGACATCGGGGAAGAAGTCGTCGTCGGGGAAGTAGTCGTCGGCGACCGGATCATCCGTGATGAAGCAGCCAGTAGTCGCGCCGAGCGCTCCCCAAAAACCTTATCACCCTTCTCCCGTACAGGACTCAAAAGGTGCGGTCTCGGAGGCCTACTGTCCCGACCTGCGGTGCACGCCGCAAGACGGGATGGGGAAGAACTGTTGGAAATATGCCCTAGAGGCAATAATAAAAGCATTATTATTATATTTCCTTGTTCATGATAATTGTCTTTATTCATGCTATAATTGTGTTATCCGGAAATCGTAATACATGTGTGAATAATAGACACCAACATGTCCCTAGTAAGCCTCTAGTTGACTACCTTGTTGATCAACAGATAGTCATGGTTTCCTGACAATGGACATTAGATGTCATTGATAACGAGATCACATCATTAGAAGAATGATGTGATGGACAAGACCCAATCCTAAACATAGCATAAGATCGTATAGTTCGTTTGCTAGAGTTTTCCAATGTCAAGTATCCTTTCCTTAGACCATGAGATCGTGTAACTCCCGGATACCGTAGGAGTGCTTTGGGTGTACCAAACGTCGCAACGTAACTGGGTAACTATAAAGGTATACTATGGGTATCTTCGAAAGTGTCTGTTGGGTTGACACGGATCAAGACTGGGATTTGTCACTCTGTATGACGGAGAGGTATCACTGGGCCCACTCGGTAATGCATCATCATAATGAGCTCAAAGTGACCAAGTGTCTGGTCACGGGATCATGCATTACGGTACGAGTAAAGTGACTTGCCGATAATGAGATTGAATGAGGTATTGGGATACCGACGATCGAATCTCGGGCAAGTAACATACCGATTGACGAAGGGAATTGTATACGGGGTTGTTTGAATCCTCGACATCATGGTTCATCCAATGAGATCATCGAGGAGCATGTGGGAGCCAACATGGGTATCCAGATCCCGCTGTTGGTTATTGACCGGAGAGCGATGTCGGTCATGTCTACATGTCTCCCGAACCCGTAGGGTCTACACACTTAAGGTTCGGTGATGCTAGGGTTGTAGGGATATGTATATGCAGTAACCCGAATGTTGTTCGGAGTCCTGGATGAGATCCCGGACGTCACGAGGAGTTCCGAAATGGTCC